TTTTGCAGTGTTTCAAATTAAGAAAGTGTGAGTTTTGGCGACGTCGGTTCCGATAGTAATTGAGGCTATATAAATAATTTTAGTTATATAAATAACCCATTCCTTTTTCGATTTACAGCAAAATATTTCTTCATCTAAAGAAGTGCGACTGAGGATGGACTCAATTAGGAGTATTCGGGATGAGATGGAGACAAAACTTTACAAGACGCTGGATGACGTGGAGAGAAATGTGGACGAGAAACAAAAACAATTGTCGAACATGCGAAAAGAAAAGCTAGCAAAAATTGAAGACCAAGTGTCAGAGGTATTGGTTTGTTACGTTGATTTAGCTTTTTTTTAAAAAAAAAACTACTTATTTTCCGGATTTGAATCACGTATATTTGTTTTTTCAAACAAAATAACGTTTCGGGCCCTTTACAGGTCCCATGGTCACGGTTGAATGGGAACAGTTAAAGGGTTATACGGTTAAAGGCCTAAAACGTTGGCTTCTTTGTAAAAACAAATATCCGCGATTTAAATTCGGAAAAATAGTTTCATTTCCTATGTGTAACAATCGCGAAAACCTAAGAACTCGATGAATACCTATTAGTTATTATACTATAAGGCTGATGGCCGCGACTTCGTCTGGTCGAGTAGCTTACGTGAGAAATAATCGATCCTCCATATATAAACTTTCATCTCCTATTTTGTCCCCTTTAAATTTATTTTGGTTACAAAAAGTAGTCGTTTTCAAATACATGGAATACCTTTTGCGTAAATATAGTTATGAAAGTAAAAAAATGAACCGTTTGTAGTTTTTTTTGACATTAATTAAGAGTTCATGGTAAGGCTCCAGCACTGAAATGGGTAAAATAATATCTAAAAGATAGATTATTATACTGCCTCCACACCGAACGGGTAGCATGCTGGTCTGCCACGCAGAGGTCGCGCATTCGATGTCCTGGCCGGGAGAAATATTTATATGGCCTACATTTAATTCTCTCGTAAGTGTAATTTGTGATTGTCCATGTGTGTGTCCATGGACAATCACAAATTACACTCGCGATACAGGATTTCCGTAGTACGGGGCTATGAGTGTGTACGTTAAAAAGAAAAAATGGCGGGCTTTTGAAGTTACGAGTACAGTTTTTGCAAAGATTAATTTTATTTTAAGCATATTATGAGGAAAATAAGAAGAAATAAATAGCACTATTTTTCTTATAAATTACGTAAGAGTTTATCTAGATAATTACTATAATTACGAATTCAAAGTTTTTGTTCAAAGTGACATTAATGTCTTTTAAGTAAAAGTGAAAACGTAAATATTGACTCTCGCCGCTTAAAAGACTATTTAGAAAGCCCAAACAATAAAACTAAGTTATGTATGAGAAAGTGAAAACATAATGTTGTAGATCCACAACGGAAAATATTTAATGACATGGCTCAAAGGACAATATCCAAGCCAAAATTCTTAAATGTACGTTAAAAAAAGTGTAGAAACTGTAGTTCAATCTTTATGGTTTGGCTTTTACGCCGTTTCTTCCTCAAAATGTTTCTTTTGAATTCCCGCATGAAGAATAATACTGACCTACTGACTTAATTTTTTTTGTAGAATACAGCAGAAAACTCCAGGAGAATGCAAGAAACTACCCAAAAGCTGGAAAAACGCGGAGTGGAAGTTAGACAAGAATTATTCCGCCGTTTGGACGAAAAAATTCACAGGGAACTTAGGAATTATCGGTGAAAGATTACCTCAACAAAATAATTTAAAAAATAAGAAAGTGTATGTAATTTACGACAAAAATAGCGTCGTCGATTGGTTAACTGTCCAGTTGACAATATTAACTTGAAATAATAGATTATTGCAGAGGCCGGGAAGTTAGGTATTGCTGGACGAGTATGAGTTACAAGGACAAGAGTCAACAAGGCCGTGTATTAATACGTGTCAAGCAATCGCCGTTCCCGCCGAGGCTTATAAAGTGCTTTTCTCAAACAATGTGAGGAAATAATAAAAGACTAAAGAGAGGAAGATGTATAATAGATAAATAAATAATAGAAAAATTAAAACAAATATATTAATTAACATTATTAAAAGTAGCATTTGACAAGTTAGGACTTCTTGTTCCGTGGCTAATATTGCCTCTTGCTTTAAATCAGGCGAAGTACAATCCATTACTGTGTCGCTCTTTTCACTAGAAATCATTTTCGCGACTAAAATATAAAAATAGATTAAAAACAAAAAGGATAGGAAGCATTTTAGTTTATTTTACCGCTTTTTTTAGCAAGCGTTTTGAGAAGCGGACAGTAATGGATTTTCATATTTACATTGCAACTCTTAGCTGGAAAGAAGTCGCACGATCCATAACTGACAAACTTTCCGTGTTAGTTTTTTGAAAGTAATGTAAACATTTCCGAGCATGTATGAGAAATATTAATTAATTAATTAATCCTCAGAATCCTCAGAATCTGTGTGTAGATACTCTATTTTTACGTCCGAACAATTATTGTCAAAACTTGACTAAATTAAAAAACAATGTCAAGTGTGAAGGTTCATTCGCATATTTGACAGAATTTGTTTCGAATGGATGCCCAAGATGCTGGCAGTGTTTCCACTTTGTATAACTATGCTAATACGTTGGGCTTGGTATCTGCCTGGCTTTGGGTTTCCCAAGCAGTCTATTAATTGCTAATTTATGTTTAATTCTTATTTATTTAAATATCAAACGACATTATTTCATATTCTTTTTTCTTTCTGTTCCTCCAAATGTTACTATAGTGTGTAGTGGGTAGTTATAGAGAATGAAAACAAGGTAAATTATATAATTATAGCGATTTGAATTCGCCCATCAATACAACCCCCGACTTCTGCGCTCTTCTTCAACTCTCCAACTTAAGATGCCATTGCATACCTCCCAGTATTACGACAAGTCCTTTACTGTTCAGGCTATTCGTTTGTGCAACGCTTTACCTTTGTCTATTCAACAAGCGAAATCATTGAATATATTCAAAAATATGGTTAAAGTACACTACCTTAATTTAGTGTGACCTGGACTGCTTAGGTATTTTTATGTTTTGAAATTCAGTTTTAGAAATTTTTATATTTATAAGTATGAGAATATATAGTAGTTTACGATATTCATATATATGTATTGGTTTTATTATTTATTTATAAATATATGTATATTTGTATTTATTTATTAATTTTTATCTGTTGATTTAGTAATTCTTCATACACCACCGTCTTTTTCCTATGAATTATATAATTACTTCCATCCAAAGGTTGTCTGGCAGAAATCGCTTAAAGCGATAAGACCGCCCATTGTACCACCGCTTATTTTTAATTTAATTGTATTGTATTTGTTTCCTTTTTTGGTGTACAATAAAGAATTTTTGTATTGTATTGTATTGTATTGTAAATTAGAAACATTTATTTTATTCCATTAGTTTTTTATTTTAATATGAAAACAACTAAAATTAAGTTTAAAAAATTACATGTAATATTATTCTAACACTTACCTAACCTTCTGTTTTTTTATTTACACAAATTTCCATTGACGTAATAATAATGATAATAATGATTATTATATTATCTACATTCAAACATTTAGCTATTCAAGTTTTACGTAACATTTTTAAATAAAAAAATATATATTTTTGTAGGTGCTTTGCATGAAATTACGGTAAAGTTAAAATAAAATATAAACTACCCTGTTAAACCTAATGGTGAGACCTCAAGAGTCGTTCCTATGAATTCGTCTGTTTAAAGGTAAAACCACATAATTGACATTTTCTACAAAGTCTTTAATTTATAATAGCTATGGTAAGAAAAGCACTATCTTTCGTGACACTCAGCCACAAAAAAGCTATAAACTCAATAAGAGTTTTATCTGCAGAAAAATGGTGATTTTTTTACAATAGGTACAAAATTTAGAGACTTTTTTGTGGAAAACGTCACTTATGTGGTTTTACTTTTAACCAGACGAATTTATCTAATAGTTGTAGTCCATCAAGTATATAACCAGAAATAGAGACAAAGTAAGGGCCATATATTCCTTACACATTAGCGATACAGCTCTTATAAATATCAACTCTCGTTTGCACTGAAATATAGACAGGCCAACTACTGACCTGTGTGTACGTCTCCGTATATTCCAAAAAATTTTCTGTATTTATTATAATAAAGATAATATCTCTAACAATGTCGTGCTGTTCTATTCGGTGGTATGGGACAAACAGCAAAACATCTAATCACAAAATAAACGGAATCACATTTCATCGGTAATTAAATATTAAATATGTAATTTTGCAATTTTCGTCCATTATAGCAAAGCTCAAGGTAACTGGTCGATTTGAAGTAAAACAGTTGACGACACCCGTCAATTGTTTCGAACTCGGGCTGGCCAATCGGAGCGCAATTGTCACAGTAATGATATGGCAGAATAGTTTTCAAACAAATTAAATGACATTTCGTCTCTATTTCTGGTTATATACTCGATGTTGTAGCCCTACAACCTAACGGTGTGTAGATTCAATTTTTTTCGTGAAATCACTCCACTAGTTTGTTATTATTAAACAAAGATTCGATCCGGCTGAATTCGAACCAAAACGTCTCGAAATTTCTAAAGGTACCTCACTGAGTGAAGAAATCTTTCCCAGATTCTCACAGATTGCGTTACGGCAAAAAGTCATTAAAAAGATCTGCAACAAGCACATGGAAATATTCGGGAGGTCCGATGTTGCTTCGAATCCAGCCGGATCGAAACATTTTTTTTTCTAAGTGGTTGACCTTTGTTTAATCGTATAACAATGTTGTTATTTATGAATCTACAGGCTCTTTGTAGAGTGCGCCTGAGTCTGCGCATTGTCGGATGGCCGAATGTAATGATTTTTGTAAAAAAGAGTGAAGTACGGAGAGATTCTTTTTTTCGTAATGGCAACACTGGGCGGAGCAGCCAAGTTGTTTTTTGGGGTTAGAAACATTTACTTACCGGGTGATAGCACGCTATATTTTGGAAAAAAAAAAACATAATTGTACAAGAATGTAAGTGACTGTAAATGGTCAGTCCGTCAATCACTTCCCAGTGCAGAAAATTTGACATTAGCCTCCTTTACACACTCACTCTATTGCGCGAGATCTGGAGAGTACAGAAATGCGCGCGGGAAAGCCTGTACGCGCATTCGCGAGCGATTACCTGTTTGAAGGTTTTTAAATTAATGTTCTTTCGCGCGCCATTGTCGTGTTCATTTTTATTACAACGGAAGAGCGTCCGTGTAAAAGGCAACATTGGAACGCGCGATTGCGCACGCGACTGATGGGCGCAATTGCGTGGTCTTTCCCTTTTCTTTTCAACGTCTTTACACGCGCGCTCAATTGCGCACGATTGCCTTATCAGGCGCGACAGAGTGACTGTGTAAAGCCCGCTAATGAGTTTACGTTTACAACTTTAAAAGATCCGCGGTCACTGTCTACTGTCAGTGGATCAGGAACGCGAAGTGATGTTGCAGTTGATAAATGCTTGAACTGGTAAAGCTTGCTATGTTTCACAAGAGTCCATGGCATCGTTGCAGGAAACGAGCTCCTTTTAGATGCTATCAAAGTATTGATATTCTGAAATAAATACTGTTTTTTTTAGACTTAGACTACTTTTATTGGCACACGCATAACATAAAACCACACTAAAAACAATTAGAGTAAAGGTGCAAAGTAGATAGTCTAGTATGGTCTGTGTTGCAGCGTCATGCCAAGGTAAATACTAAGGTAAACTATTCTTTTATGGGGAACTGTATACGTTTTTATAATAAGATTCCGGTGAATATATTAAGATTATCACTTCCTAAGTTTAAAACTTACATTAAAAGTATTTTAATTGAAAAGTCATATTACAAAATTGAATAGTATGTTTTAGATAAAGAAGTATGGAAAGACAACAAGAGTCTAGATTCCACACAATTATGATGGAAAGTGTATTCCATAGCATTTAAGTTTATTTGTAAAGAACAATCCCTAGAGTTTCTTGCTCGTTCTTCTCAGGGAGGTGAACGAGCAATAGCTTAAAAAGTAGCTTAAAAAAATGACGTTTTCAAATGTAAAAATTTTACCTATGGAATAAATAATTGTTTGACTTTGACGGAACTTATCTCAGCATTGCTGCAGTAACTTACCACAGCGCTGATTTTCAGTAAGCCCGAAGAGCGCGACGATGCCAGCAATAAACGAGAAAAATTATGAATACTGAATAGATATTATATTAAATTACAATTTTTTTTAAATCTTAATTTATTTATTTAAATCGCAAAATTGTTTGAAAAATATCGGGTTCTTAGGTTTTTGCGAAAACAACGCGTCCTTGTTCGGAGGGCCGCCCGAGCGCTTCCGTGCTCGCCCGAGGCGGCTGGTTCGGATTCGCCACTGGTCAGTAATTTCGAAGGCGTGGCCTATGCTCTCGATACAAATTCGAATATGCGCGTCGGCCCGACACCGCCCGGACTCGTCCGTTTCACGAGCTCGCCCATACAAATCGGCGCGTTTGATATTACGGGTCGTGGGAACACACCTTATTGAAGTCTTTGATTTTAGAATGAGAGAAGATTGAATTGTTGTACCATTGCTCGATAATCGCTACCCTATTGATATATATCACAAAACACACACATGCGATACATTTAAACAAAAATAAACAAAAATAATCGAAAGGACAATAGTGCAAAAAAAAGTAACTGCACAAATACAATATACTTGTTTTAAATATTACAATTAATATTTATTCTAGAGCGTTTCCATTAGCTGTATGGGTCTGGATTGGCAGAGAGATTATTATTGGCGGCTTCCCATGGCTCGTTTTTCTACGAATCGTAGGAGGAGGTCAGCCCGAGCGCGCTCGTGCTCGCCCACAGTCGCCTGTTTTTAGATCCGCCGTATGTCACATGCCACACACCCGAATACGCGCCACGTTTTGTCTTTGAAGAACAGGCCGTGGGATATCGCCTTAACAAATTATTGTGAAAACCTTTTCTTTTCAGACAACAGTTGCGATGAGAGGCGTCATGATCGGATATTGCATCTACGATTCATATTGTTTTTCTTAATTTGTAAGTGCGCATTCGACTTCCATCATACCTTATGGAAAGTGACGATGAGGTCGACGATGGAGAATGCACAGCTAAATAATGCCTATTCACTCCCGCATTGAAAAGGCCCAAGTTATAATGTTCAGGGAACAAGTCTGCAGGCAGGGAATTCCACTCCATAATCGTTCGCCATATAAATGTGGATGCGTAACCACAACATAGGGGTGGAATCCAGGCCTACGCCTAGTTTCCCAATGATGGACAGGGGAAGGCGGAATTAAATCGTGTAATTTCATCGCACACTATCCGTGATAAGTCCTGTAAAATACCGACAAGCAGGCAACTTTAAGCTAAATATATCCTTTTATTTAAATAAATAAAAACAAAAACTTAAAAGACGCGGTTGTTTTTTTCATATTAAGAATAAACGATTTAAAAACGGAATGCGTTCACGTGTCCCGCATTGCGGGAAACAGTACCCATTGTAAGGGGTAAGTAGACGCACATGGGGTAAGTGAGAACATTGCTCGCTCATGGTCAAAATAAATATAATAATAATAAAAAAGTATTATTTATTAAAAAAACCTAAATATGTTTGAATTGTATTATATTACTTACTACTATATGTAATATAAAAATATTAAAAATGGAAAAAATGTCTTATTAACATCTTATCATCTCAGAAACTGGTCTTAATTCGGGTTTTTTCTTATATAATTCAGTGGCATGACGATTAGGCACTGAAATATAAAATAAAAGCACGTTAAAAATATTGTACAAATTAATGGATGAAAATATTACAGACGGGGCGAGGGTACGCAAGCTTAACTTAACACTTACCCGAGCACGAATTGCAAATGAATGATCGCATAATATTTGGAACCGAATATAACTTGAAACTTTTTTCTAGAAATAGTAAATCTGTTCATAATTGAAAAAAAAATAACTTACTGTTATTAGATAAAAAATACAGGTGCTACATTGTTTTCTGAGATACCAAAATCTGATGGATACACTGAAAAAATTGCTTACAAACAACAAGAAAAATAGATTTTTGCTAAAAAATAGGATGACCAGTGAACTATAACAAATAGGTTAACCAGTCAAATCGGAAGTAATTAGTCAATCAAGTGCCTTTATTTGACTCAAACAAACCGCTTACGCTCTTCCTCCGTTCCAGAGATATAGCTTCTGCGCACACTTACCCACTGCGCTTAGTTACCCCGAATGATTTTACTAAAGTTATTAATTAAATACGTTATTAATTAAATTTTTATTGAATTGATATTCAATTATTTTTTGTGAAATTACTCCAGTAGTTTGTTATAATTATTAATACAAAGATCGAACACTCAGAAAAAACACTCAGAAAAAATTCGATCTTTGTATTAATAATTATAACAAACTAGTGGAGTAATTTCACAAAAAATAATTGAATATCAATTCAATAAAAATTTAATTAATACAGTGAATAGCGACATCTCTTGCCAGGACTGGTAGCTGTAAAGGTACTAACTGGGTGATAAATCTGTCATAGATTTCTCATAGATGGCGCTACGACTAAAAAGTCGTTGAAAGACCAAGTACAAAGACACGACACAAGCACGTAGAAAAATTCGTGAGGTCCGTTGGTTCGTTCCGTGGCTTAGTTGGTATAGCGTCTGTCACGGTATGCAAGAAGACGTCGGTTCGAATCCGACCTAAATACGTTATTTTCAAATTTTCCAAAGAACATTACAAAAAGAGCGATTAGATTTTTAGCACTGCTGCAAACGCGATGCAGTCGCACATTTGCATCGACGCAATCGCTTATAAATCGCAAGTGTAGCGATGCAATCGCGCGTTTCACAGGGAGGTCGACTGATACTAACGCTAGTTTCATTTACTATGCCTAGCAATCACGAAAACCTAAAATGAATGGTTTTTAACTTACGTGCTTTAGTTTAGATTTTTTCTAAGAAAATGCATTATTAACAAAATAATAAAATAAAATATATAAAAAACAATATTTATTTAAAATTATAAAAAAAAATTTACAATGTAAACCACGCTTCTTCAACGCTACAATACCATAAACAAGCATATTGAAATCTAAGTATTTTACTCAATGACATTGACTTACAAATAAATGGACGACGGGTCTAATACAAAAACCACGAAAAAAATGTCCCAAGTCAACCTATTCGAAATTTAAATTGTAATGTCATCGCAGTATCGCGCTGTCAGTAGAACAAATGAAGACTAAAGCGGAGTGTCGCGCTCTGTATACGATTTTAGCGCCTTACAAGTGCGGACACTTTTTAGCGCGGACCCGACGTCCATATAATTGTAAGTCAATGCTCAATGATGTCTTTTTGTAAATAGTTTGTCCATAGACTTATAGTCTTTTATAAATTAATTTATGTGCTCCGGTGTCAACGTAGTCATCTTAAAAAAAAACAAAAAAAAATTAAGGCACAATAATTCGGCTAACACAGACAAATAAATACAGTAGCAATGCTCAGTGGATGTGGTACGTGTGCCAACAGTACACGGAGTACCGCATACTTGAGCTCAGCATTTTTTGGTACTATACTCTTCAATGGCGAGTCCATGGCGTAATTTAGTAATATTAGTAGACGACTAATATTAGTAATATTAGTAGACTGCTTATACTTAATTTGAAGACGAAATTGCTGCTTAAAAGTCGAAGGTACTTCAACTCGAATAAATTTTTTCCCGTACTAATACGACTCATTTTGCTTAGGTTGAGTGGCAGGGACACTGGCTTTATTTCAGAATTTGTTTTCTCACAAACGAAATTAAATTTGTAAAAGCGTGTACCGCCTCTGGTACCGCTTGGAATGTTTTATGGATTGAATGTTTGGGTGCCAGTGAAAGCGCGCTGCTGGCGCTGGTGGCATGTCTTGTTAGTTTGTAATGTAGTAAGGAGAGTGTAGTAGCCTCCGCAGCCTTCATACATCTTGCTTAGTAAGTTTAAAGTTCAAAATTGAAAAGGGTAAAGAAATAGTGGTAATAAATCCAGTTTTATAAATATTATTCCCGTTTTATATGTTTATCGCACAAGAGATTTTTGATAACTGATAAGCGGTTCAAAAAATTAACGAGAAGACGTGTTCGCTGCCTTGATCGAGCAGGGAGTGACGATACAACGAAACAAAATCGGAATGGCGAGGCAAAGAAATTAAAGAACGATTCAAAATTTAAAAACAAGTGACCACGAACCGGAGAAAAGGCGATAAAAGAGTGGAATGACGATGGAAGGAAGGTCACATCGTCACAAAGCTATTTGAAAAAATGTATATACGTGTTCTATTTAATTAAGTTGATATAAAAAAAAAATTGGCATATATAAAGTACCTATTGAATGCAGCAGTTTTCTTGTAAAATTTCGAAGTAAGTTTGTGTTTTGTGTTCTATCACGAAAAATGTTTAGGAATCGTGTAGTATATACTCTTAAACGTGATAAAAATTGCGATATGTATAGTAATTTCAATATGGGCCTCATAAGGAGGCTCAACGCCGGAACACAGTAATGATGACATTACTGCTTGGCGACACAAATAGGTAAGATGGTAGACCCTAGACGAACTCTTTCACAACGAGCTCTACTGCTGCTAAGCCCTCAACCCAGTCCGTGGACATTAATCATGATGTTCCGCGGCGACTCTATAAAAACTACGCGGCAAAGCCCAGATAGCCCAGTCACTAAATAAGGGAGATTTTCCACCTGCGAGGCGAGACGAGATTTGATATCTCACCAGCCAGCAGATTATCGCGAAGTCGCGATTGATATTAATAGCCATTCCAAGCACGCGCATTGGTCATGAGTAATGAAAATTCAGTGTTGTTCAGTTTCTCTAGCGATAAACACGCGGCCGAAGTAACATACGTTTGTCTTTTTTTTGTATGTATGTTAAGCGATAACTTGTAAACTGATTTTGATGATTCTTTTTTTTGTTGAAAAGAGGGTACCTCAGTATTGGCCCTATTTAAATTTGAACAAAATATTAAGGGTCGCAAACTAGGGGATGAATCCATTTTCGCGCATTTTCCGGTAACAGATTTCAATAAAACTTGCCAAATAGATGTAATACCATGAACTTTTGGGGTCGATTTCTTTAGTACTCTGTATTGAGATTATTAAATATGTTAACGGAAGAAAAATCAGATTAAGCCTCTTTTTTCTAAATCTCAAATCGTACCTACATAACACGAGCTATCGCAAGTCAGCGCGAGCTTTGAGCGAGAAATCATGTTCCCATTGCAGAGTTAATACTCTATGTAGGCAACAATACGATTGAATATAACATCAACAAATATTGGAATTCTCGCTTCGCACGTCCTCGTCCAGATCATTTTCACTGAAGATGAGCTAGGAGAATTTTGAAACTTTGCCACATGAATTTCAATCCTCAACTCGCCTCGTCTTGTCTCCGATAGAAAAGCACCTTAAGGGCGTGGGCGTAGATAGCGGTGGCGAGCAACAATCCTCGTTTACTTCAGTCTTGCGAAAGTTACGTTCTAATTGACACTATCCACTGACGTGGTACCTGTGTCCGGATTTACATTTGCCTGACATGTTGTGTCGTGGTGCGTCAGAACGGTATCGATTTCACACGTTTAATATGGTTAAATTTATATTAGTGTGTTGCAATCAGACGTGACGGCTTGTGTTGTGTGTGTGTGTATGTGTGTGTCGCGTCACGACACGACAGGTCAGACAAACGTAAATCTGGTTCACAGTTTGATTAAGGACCATGGACTGTTTCGAAAGACGTCGATAAAAAACCTACTTAAATACGTGAGTGATAATTTAATCACTTGGCTTAACTAAATGAAAACGAATTAATGAAAAAAAATTGCATACGACTATAAGAACAATCTCAATTGTTTAGTTTTTTTATGATACAAAGTAACGGGATGAACTCGTCTGGTAGAAACCGATTAAAGCTTTGAGTGGCACTGCAACTGTTATAGATAGGCGTGTCGCTTACCACCAGGCGCACACCGTGTTCGTTCCGTCACTTGATGTCATAAAAAAAATGTCGGAGTGATATTACAACGACATACCAAACTGCGCGTTTTTTATAATCTCGTTTAATCTCGTTGTTGATTTAATAATGGATGTTTACATTGAGTTGTTATTTTTAATAGATAGATGGTGTTATTGTTAATTCGTTAGATTGTTGCAGGGGTTGTTACTATGTAATTATTAACGGCAATATCTAATGTTGGCGCACCTGCACGACAGGTTAACTGTAATGGTATTACGTAGGCGGGAGAACCGCCAGTTCTGCCCTCTTTCTCATAACTAAAGCCGGATTTACATTTGTCTGACGTGTCCTGTCGTGACGCGTTAGAACGGTATCGGTTTCATACATTTAATATGGTTAGATTTATATTAGTGTGTCGCAATCTCACGTGACAGCTTGTGCTGTGTGGTTGACACCAATACGGTTCTGACGCGTCACGACAAATGTAAGGGCTCTTACACACAAACACGATATATATAAGGCAATAATAACAAATGAACGGGGCACTGGGGAGCGCACCGTGACTTTCTACGATACGACGTCGTGTCGTGCGGCAAGGCACATTGCGATGTCGTGTCGTGTTTATGTGTAAGAGCCCTAAACCCCGCTTCGTATTGGCACTTCGATAACTTTCGACATATAGGCACTTCAAGTTTTATTGTCACTTAAAAACTATCAAACCCATTGACATACAAATAAATGGACGACGGGTCTAATACAAAAACCACGAAAAAAATGTCCCAAGTCAACCTATTCGAAATTTAAATTGTTGTGTCATCGCAGTATCGCGCTGTCCGTAGAACAAATGAAGACTAAAGCGGAGTGTCGCGCTCTGTATACGATTTTAGCGCCTTACAAGTGCGGACACTTTTTAGCGCGGACCCGACGTCCATATAATTGTAAGTCAATGATCAAACCGCTTAACTGAGTCGGTTCCTGAGGTAGTTGCGCGGTGCGGAAGGGGTGATAGTTTACGTAACAGTTATGTTGCGCTGCACACGGGATAATATGAACAATTTTTTTCTGACGATATTTAATAACAAGTTGATTGAAAAAAGTCCCTACCAAATTAGTCGTCCTTTTTTAATAATACTAATTGACGGGACGAACAAGTCGTGTGTCTAGTAGTAAGCGACAAGCCTGTCTCTAACAGTTACAGTGCCATTCAGAGCTTTAAATTGCAAAGATCTGCGGGGAACTGCCACTGTATCCGTCACCCTGTCACTTATGTCAAGTTGACAAGTCCCAGGTGCCTGTAATTTCACCAGCACCTTTACCCTTCGATATCGAAACGCAGTAATACTCACATTACTGCTTCGCGACAGAAATAGGTAAGGAGGCAGCACTTCCCTGGACTAAAGCTGCTACTGCTACTAAAGTCTAGTCTAGCTAGTTAATTATTGTTATGGGAAACGATAATTAAAAATAAAACGATTTTATTGATAATTAAAATGAATAATAAATAAATAACGCACACACTCAACATAGCCCCGCACTAGGGAAACCCTGTGTCGCGGGTGCCATGGACACACACATAGACAACCAGAAATTACATCCAAACTCACGAGAGAAATAATTGTAGGCCATACAACTATTTCTCCCGGCCCGGGAATCGAACCTGGGACCTCTGCGTGGCAGTCCGGCATGGTAACCGTTAGGCCACGGAGGCAGTTAAGTACTATTCAATAGACAAGCTATTGAATAGTACTTTTTTCAATCATCTTGCTATTGAATATCGTCAGAAAAAGTCTTGTTGAAATGATCCCGTGTGCAGTGCGACATAGCTGTTACATAAACTGTCACTCCTCCCGCACCGCGCAACTACCTCAGGAACCGACTCAGTTACGCGGTAGGCCTGTAATATCCTTATCATAACTAATCTAATCGACGTTTTTAGCGAACTTCAGTTACTAACATTTCTAGTATCTGCGACACGACATCTACAACCCCCTATAAGCGGTTTTTTGTATTTATCTGTTTTATTATTAAGAGTCTGTAGTACCGTCGAATTCATATTTTTCCTGAATTAATATGGTTCAGTTTGCTTAAATCGAGCAGCAGTGAGTGACACACTTTTAGAATGTTATTTTTTACAAACGAAATTTAAGCCATTTGAAAAAAGTGTATCGTATATAGTATACCTGTTTTATTTAGTTCAGTTGATATTATAGATAGTTTAAAAAAAATCATTGGTGTATATAAGGTACCTACTGAATACAGCGGTTTTCATGTAAAATTTCGAGAAAATCCTCCATTTCACTATATATTTTTCGAAAATGTAAAAAAGAAAAGAAAAAATCAATCAAAGCCTTTTGAGCCAAGCAAAATCAGCGTCTTTGACATTTTTACTATCGAGTATATAACCAGAAATAGAGAGGAAATGTCATTTAATTTGTTTGAAAACTATTCTGCCGTATCATTACGGTGACAACTGGGCTCCGAATGGCCAGCCCGAATGCGAAACAATTGACGAGTGTCGTCAAATTGTTTCACTTCAAATCGTCCAGCTTAACTGTAGCTTTGCTATAATGGACGAATATTGAAAAATTACATAAAATTTAATATTTAATTACCGATGAAATGTGATTCCGTTTGTTTTGTGATTAGATGTTTTGTTCTTTTTCCCACACCACCGAATGGAACAGCCCCCCATAGTTAGAGCTATTATTTTTATTACAATAAATACAGAATATTTTTGGAATATACGGAGAGGTACACACAGGTCTGTTGTTGACGCTGTACTATTTCAGCTTTCTAATTTGTGATGTCAGCGCAAATAAGAGTTGATATTAAAAAATGACATAAGGCCCATTTGCCTGATGAGGTATGGATGGCCCTTATTTGGTCTCTATTTCTAGTTATATACTCGATGTGCGTTAGTTATGACAAGGATGGTGGAATTATGCCCGGCTCCTCAGTAAAAAGACCGAGCTTACCCCGTTATATACATCTCTATTTTGCTGTAACAACGTGTGCTTTGAAACGTGTTCCTCTTTAAGTATGTTAAAAAATAAAAACTAAACTTAATTACCTGGTTTAAGATCATCATCATTGCCACCGAATTCACCACTGTCATGACCTCCGTATTCATTCTTATTATCTTCATGCCCGGTTTCATTACTAAAATCATCTTCAGAAGGCTCTTTAGGAACTACCGAATCATTATCACCGTCTGTATCAACTTTAACGTGGTCATCAGGGTTCTGATTATCAGGGTCCTGATTATCCAGGCTCTGGTTATCTGGGTCCTGATTATCCGGGTCCTGGCCGTTATCGTGTTCAATTGTATTGTCAGTATCAGGGTTATGATCATGGTCAGGTTTGTTGTTAAGGCTTGGTTTGTTATCGGATGGTGGATATATAAATTTGTAATAATTTCCATGTAAATTGCATCGAGGATCATCTGTGGGTAGAAAAGGAAGACTTTAATATTGTTACCGTAAGGTGGATCTTATTGTTGTGAATGAATTGTAGTTGCTTATTTGATTTCATTAGATTTAATTTGTTATCTATGAATGAAATATTCTTTATTGCACATAAAGTTACAGTTACACAATACAGCACTTATGTATAACAGTAGTAAGTTATTGTAAAACAGGCGGTCTTATTGCTATTCAGCAATTTCTTCCAGGTAACCTTAGGTAGGAATTTAGAATATTTTAGTAAGACGAGTGCCGTGGCAACCTAATGGTTAATGCTACCCTGAGAGTCGAGCTTTTGGGGCCCGTCACAATGTGAATTTGAATTAATTTGTGGTGAGAGTACCAACTCAACAAAGTTGAAATATTTTGAATATTGAATCATCAAACAGCATCTACTCCATCCGTCTTCGGAGATAGGCCTCCTCCAGGGACCATTTATGTCGCTTCCGTGCCACATGCATCCAGTTGCGGCCCGCGAAAATTTTAATGTCGTTTACCCAACGAAGTGGCGGACGACCCCTGCCGCGCGTTTTGGCCCATGGTCGCCACTCCATGATCCTCTTTGTCCACCGATCTGGATTCATCCTAGCTATGCCATGTAATAATTAATAATATATTGAATAATAAGACATATTTTCCTCATCAAAAGTTATTCATCTCCTTGTTTGCCACCCTTATTGATGCCATTTTTTCTTCAAATTTTAAGGGAACCACTAATGAGGTACCCTCTTTCCAATAAAAAAAAATCATCAGAATCGGTTCACAAATGGAGTTATCGCGTAACATACATAAAAAAAAGAATAAAAAACTTACAGGGAATAGAGAACCTTCTCTTTAATGAAATTTTTATTGAATTAATCTTAGAATAATAACGCATAGAATGATAGTTTCATATCAAACGAACTGTCACAAGTGAGGCAAAAATCAAATTCATGTAGGCTAGTTTTAGTAGTAAGTTAATTTTCGGTTTTAGTGAATATCTAAATAAAAATACAAGTTGAAACGCGTTACTTCCTTGTGGAATGTGATGTTAGTATCTATTTTATGTTTGTCTGACGTATTTTTACACTCATTTACCGCACATTTCGTAATTTTTAGCTAAAATTCTTGATCTGTTCGTGGTGTAAGTTGACCTTGAGCACTGAAGGCCCGCCCGCTCGTGTAGGCCCTTTGGGAGCGCTTCAATTTGCCTCACTTAGCGGGTGTGGACTAGGTTTCTATGCGTTATTGTTCTAAGGAATTAATATTCAATTGCTACTAGTTTGTTATTTGTATTAACAGTTGTAATCTCCTCCTTTTTTTTGAAAAATTCGTTTTCGGAACAATATTTTTTTTAGTTTATAGCTTTTTTTATCCAAGTTTTTTGCTAGTGGACTACACAAATTTAATTGCACCCTTATTACTCACTAGCTTGACCATATACAGATCTGTCGTTCTGGCATTTAATGTATCGTAATACAACGTCGTCGTCGTTAGGTTCCGTGAGTCTCCCAGTTGGTATCCTCATGTCTCTGAGATAGGGAGTCGAGAGGGCACACGGCTCGCGGGCTACTAGCTGTAGTTCTAAAATAATTATGTCATAATTATTGAAAGAAATAAAAAAAGAATAGTTATTTGTTATGCAAGGCTGCAAAGTTGTTGTTTGACGCGAGTGGTTGTATTGAAACCTGGGTAAGCGAAGGAAGCTAAGATTCAAATATAGATTCTTGCGCGAGGCGATAGCGTAGCGAGGGTTTGAAGGCACGAGACGCAAACAACTTTACTGCCGTGCGGATTGCACAAGTATAGCGAGGAAAATGGTAGATGAAATAATCTCAGTACAGAGTACTAAAAAAACCGACCTCAAAAGTACGTGGAATTACGTCTATTTGCTAAGTTTTATTGAAATATCCTTAAATTCGCCACTATACAGGACTTGGCACTGGAGATAATAAAAATCGGTTCTCACTTCAAAGTATATTGAGAGAAAAACGCCTTGAATTGGAGAAATAGCAAAATCAACCATTAAAGTAATTGCTCCTAAATTAAAGTTAGGCGCTAATTATAAAAATGAATCTTCATGCGTGAACAGCCACCCTTGAAGGTGGATGATTTTCTTCAAAATGAAATGGGACCACTATGGAAGTACCCCCTTTCCAACAAAAAAAGAATCAAGAAAATCGATACGCGAAATGTTTTAAAGTTATCGCGTAACATACATACAAAAAAAAATAAAGAAATGAACATACAGTCGAATTGAGAACCTCCTCCCTTTTTCAAGTCGGTTAAGAAAAACAGTTGAACTATAAAACATCAGTTTTTTAATTAAAAAAAAGTTTTTCTTGGGATGCATTCTGAATTTAAAAACCTTATCAATTTTTATTCTTGCTTGTACTTTTATTTTGTGATTATTAAAATGATTTTAGTTCTTCGACGAATTAAAATAATTTAATAATAACAATTATTTATCATTGTCAATTTAATGTCAGCAATAATAAGAATAAAATGTACCAACGGATTTATATTACATAAATAAATATAGTCATACAAATCGCGCATTTAAACGTGCCATTTTTTTTTCATCGAAAGAAAATGTAAGGTGCACCATAGTCTATAGTCAAGTTCGAATTTCAAAAACCACGCTAGCGTGCAAAAACCGGTTTTGTGCGCAGATTTCTAATGAGAAAAAAAGCCTTTCCGAGTTAGCGCCGCCCTAGGCCTGGGCCATGGTGGCCTTATGGCAAATCCTGCACGGTGAATAAATTATTTTTTGTAATGAGACCAAATAAATATCTTCTTCACCTCTCTTAATACTGCCACTGCGCTTTGGACCGCCAAAGTACAAAGTGTCAAGCTTCACGTGCTCTCGACTGTACAAAACCGAAGCATTACCTCTGTTCGAGATTTGTACTAATAATTGTAACAAAATTACGTACTTTCTGTAGGATATTTGCATTGGAACATTTTCATGTGACAGATGCTTTGGAAAGTTCGGTATATTTTGTCACCGCATCGCGAGCACACCATCTGTGTTCTGATTGGACACTTTGTCGGGCAGGTAGCCTTGTACTCGTTTAAATCCACTGAAAACATAAAATTTTAATTACCTGCTCTGCTCACCTTGGCATAACCAAGGGTATCAACTAATACAAATTAATTTTAGTACATACTTAAAACTGTAGATGGCGACAGTTGTTTAAAATACGAAGTATTGAATCACGAAAATTTGAAGTATCTCATAGTAAATTATAAGTATAAGACGATTAAAACACTGCACCGCGTCCCGCGACAGAGCGCGAGACGCAGATCTGCGTCAACGCGCAGTTTGATCTGCGCGGGGGCAGCGGTCCCGCGTCACTTAAAGTATTCAGTCAGTTGATCGCCGTAGTGATTGTATATGTAGCCGAGATCCTTCTTTGACAAGAATGGTTAATAATACAGAACTCATTCAGGACGCTACAGTTATACTGTCTAATTGGATTTTGTTTACTCAAATAAACAGACACCGAAGGTATTGGATACATCCCTTTTTACGAACCAGATCGATAAATGGGTAATTTCAACTTCATTACAAAGATTTACGAAAATATGAAGATAAATTTGGTCGATTTTAAATGGCAAATATAAATTTATCGACGTCGAGATCTATTGTAGAAAACTGAACATGTCCTTAAGGTTAAAAATGTGCGCGGTAGTGCGGAGCGCGGTGTGCCATACCCTGCAGTTCACTGCGCCCCTCCGGAAGCGGAGAAGCGTCGTCAGTGTGTTCGACGGCGCGTGTTTTCCATACAAACTGAGGTACATCTTGCATACGGCGACCTTTAGCAGCGACGCAAACGCGATGCTGTAGCGATGCAGTCGCTAATCGTCTACCTTTATATAACGCGAGACTTTAAGCAGCAAAATAAAAAGTTGATACAAACGCGCGATTGTATCGCTACACTTGGGTGTTTTAGGCGATTGGATCGATCCAATCGTCGACGGGATGAACAAGTTGGTAAACGACACGCCTGTCCATAACAGTTGAAAAGTCCCATGTGACTGTAATTTCATTAGCACCTTAACCAATCAAAACCGGAAAACAGTAATGTGAGCTACTACTACTACTTGACGGCAGAAATTGGAATGGTGGCACTACTTCCCTGCACGAACTCTTTTAAACGGTCTCTACAGTATGCTTCAATCTTCAACAAGCTTACCTTCGTCTTGTAGGCCCTTTTCATTTTGAAATTGACTGATCAGATCCGCTGAAAAGAATAGATATATATTAAAAATTCTGTCGGATGTTATACGTCGAGCTTTTGAAAATAATAATATAATAACGCCTACATTCATAGCCGTTTGGGTATTTACCAGAAATAGAGACGAAATAAGGGCCATACATTCCTGTCCTGTAACTCATCAGTGAGTACATCACTTATACATATCAACTCTCGTTAGCACTGAAATATAGAAGCACCAAGAACGGGCCTGTGTGTGCATCTCCGTATATTCCAAAAATATTCCATATTTATTGTAATGAAGATAGTATATCTATGTAACTGTTTCGTTTGGTGGTGTAGGGAAAAACAGCAAAATATCTAATTACAAAACAAACGAAACTGGTCGATTTGAAGTGAAACAATTGACGATACCCGTCAATTGTTTCGAATTCGGGCTAGCCAATCGGAGCGCAATTGTCACAGTAATGACATTTATTTATTTATTTACACAACTCTATCCTTACAGGTTAGGTACACCCAATTCGATAGCGTCGACATCATTCTTACATATCTAATTAATTACTTATATCTAAACTCTATTACATATTATATTATACTAAATTACAACGGAGAAACTTATCAGAACAATTGCTGTTATACATATTTATACAACACCCATAGAGAAGCTTTCTCAAATTCGTTTTCAGAGCAACAGAATATGTCAATTAGATCATTTATGACATTTAGGTTTCGCAACATTCGTGTAAATGGCGCTTCTTTTAACAAATTCGTGCGTGCATGCGGTAATGCAAAGGGAGAAAGAAGGCCGCCGCCGTCGACCCACGTATTGGTCCGGCACACACAGCTTCATCAACTGCAACAACGCTGAATTACATTGACATGGCAGAATAGTTTTCAAACAAATTAAATGACATTTCGTCTCTTATTTCTGGTTATATACTCGATGCTATTAAATAACGACCTTACAAAAAATATACGCCACACGAAAGGGTATTGTCTAAAGCATCGGTTCCAAAATTGTTGCCTCACTGCCTATTTACGCTAGATAAAAAAATTTCAACGCCCACCTCACAACAAAAAAGCAATTGAAAACTTTTTATATAACCTAACAAAAAAAAGTGTGTAGTTTATATAGATAATTCAGGTTTTTTTTTTTTCAAATTCGGTAGCATCCCCTGCACATCTTCAAAGCACCCCAATTGCTTCCGAAGCTCCTGCCGCCCCTCTAGAACTTTTCAGAGCCCACTGGCGGTAGGGACCACTTTGGGAAACTATGGTGTGAATTACACAATAGGATGCACTTTAGCCGATCGTATAAAATCCTAAAAACAGGCTAAAATAAAAATCTAATCTAATACGAAATATTTAGGAATAATAGTAGTTTATATGACTGTTGCATAATGAAAGGCATTAAATTACGAAACCGACAGGCGATTTTCATAAAAACATCTCACGAGTGTTTTAATGCCTAATTATGTACAGTTACATACACTGCTTTATCTACATACATTTATTTATTTATTTATTTATTTATTTCTGCAGTATGTACAATTTTGGTGAGAAAGATCTTAAAAACAACACAATGCCAATATGTACATAAGCCCTGTTGGGGCATTGCAATTACATTTATAAATTACATATTAAAATATTATAAAAGTAATAATTATAAGAGCAAGTATTTCATTTATTTTATACATAATTTAATTTTAAAATTGGAATATTAATAATGACTATACAAGAATACATATTATTACTTTTATTTTTACTTTTATAAATCACATAGTAGATAAGATCGCAAAATGAAGTCAATGTCTCAATGTTTAAAAATCGAATAAATTTTTATTTGTCATTAAAGAATTCATGCATAGAATAATAGCACTTTTCAATTAAGTATTTTTTTAATTTAACCGAGAGAGTTTTATTATTTATTTCATTTTTAATATTGAGGGGTATTTTATTATATATTGAAATGGCTCTGTAGTATGGACTATTTCTGAATAGTTCCAGTCTTGATGTAGGAAGCACCAGTTGATTGTTGCGACGTGAACTACTCACAAATTTAAATTCGGCTATATTGTTCCGAACGAACTTAACAACGTCAAGAATATATATGCACGGAACGGTCAACATACGATTTTTTTGGAAGAACGGCCTGCAACTAGTTCAAGAATCTATATTAGATAGAATACGCAGGCATTTCTTTTGCAGAATGAATACGTCATTCGCTACCGTGCTGTGTCCCCAGAGCATAATCCCGTACTGCAGCCATGCGTGTGCGTATGCGTAATATGTAGTCAGAGCTGTATTAAAGTCGGAATTAGTTTTTAGGACAGCTAGTGCGTAGGTAAATTGAGCTAATTTCTTTTTAAGGTTTTCAATGTGATTTTTCCAGTCAAAGTGCGAGTCTATGGTCAAACCTAATAAGTCAAATTTATTTACTTGTTCTGCTTTTATGTACGATGTTATTAATTCTATGTCAAGCTCCTCCCTTTAGTACGGCCGAAATTGCATGATTCTAGTCTTTTTTAGATTGATCTCAAGATTGTGGTCAGTTAACCAGCTTTTTACAGCGTCGAAATTATTTATAACATGATTTAGACTTTGTCTATTATTTTGACATTTAAATAGTAATGGTATGTCGTCGGCGAACATGACGCACAGCGATTCCAGCATATCCGGTAAGTCGTTTACGTATATCAGAAACAAGATACTTCCCAGCACGCTACCCTGTGGAATGGAACTGTTTATGCATCGCGTCGTGGAACATACACTTTCAAATCCTCCGTTGGAGTTGTTATGAGAATTGATTTCCACATACTGTTTCCTATTCCCCAAATACGACTGCAGCCATCGAAACGGTTTGCCGCGTATTCCGATTCCATACAATTTAGAAAACAATATACTATGGAGAACCTTATCGTAGGCTTTGGTCATGTCTAGTAGTATTCCGACTGCGTAGTATTTGTCATTAATATAAGATAGTGCCTCTTGCACATATTTATAAACAGCGTGAGTTGTCGATCGGTTTTTCCGGAACCCGTAGGTATTGGTTTTTTTAAGGATTCTTTGATAAGTTTTACAATGAGATCTTAATATGTCATTACCGGTTTGATTTATCAGTGATCTTAATAGTCTTTTATGTCTACACGATTGTTTCAACCCTTTTGTCAGCCATGTCATTTTTGTGCGGGATTCAGTTCTTAAATTTATTCTTTTATTTGGTATACAAGAGTTTAATAGGGATTTTAGAGCTGCTTCAAGAGCATTATAATTATTGTTTATGTCGTCATTAATTAGTATTATCTTAGTCCAGTCTAGATTTAGTAGTTGATTTTTAAAAGTCATCATATTATTATGGGAGTAGATTCTTTTATATACGTATGTCACTTTGGTCAATTTGGTCAATTTATTACTAACTTTACAACGGTAGAAAAGGCACGAATGATCAGATATGCCATTTTCTATTACTGAAACATCACAATCTTTGTGATTTGTGAAAAGGAGATCAATGCATGTTGATGTTTTTTTCGTCACTCTCGTTGGTGCATGTATAGTCTGGTGGAGGTTACATTCCAGAAGGCTGTTGCATAATTTATTGTAGTTTTCCGAATTAAGCGAATTATTAATATTAAAATCTCCGGTTACTATAATGCGTTTTCTAAAGCTTTCAGTTTTTAATTTGTTAGTTAAGCTTGTCAAAAACTGAAAGAATATATCTATTTTGCGATCCTTTCTGTATATATTAATTATCATAGTATTACAATTAGGCAACTCTATAGCACAGCATTCAACAACACGTTCAATAGTCAACATCTCATAATCAGGCCGTTGTTTATATGGGATCCCTTCACGTGTTAATATTGCTACTCCCCCTCCTCTATAGAGCCGGCGGTTAAAGGAGGCCGCAAATTCATATCCATCCACTTGAACGTATTGATGTCGATCCTGTTTGATCCATGTCTCGGACAAACAAACAGCGTCAAATTGGTGGTCCGTCAACCAACTTTCTAGCAAATGTATTTTATTATTAATACTTTGAACGTTCTGCGATATCATTTGAAAACTAGTCTCGAAAAAAATGATTTTTGTTCAATTCTTGAGGTTTTTGATATGCGGATATATCACCATGAGGTGTGTGTATAGTTTGTTTGTCAAGGTAAGAACGACGCGTATTTAACGATTGGCTAACTTCGTTGGAATTATTATTCCCATTGTCATATGCGTTTGTATACTCTCTTCCGTTGATATATAATCTATTATTTCTTATAATCGCATGGTTTCCATTTTTCCTTTCGTTTCGAAGCACTTTGATTAGTTCATTTCGTTTATTTAGTTCATTTTTATCTAAATATTCAGTTATTGTAAATTTGGTATTTCTAAAGTAATTTCTATTTTTTAATATATATGTCGTCATTTTTTTACTTAATAATTCTATTTCCAGTGGCCTGCGTTCTTTATTTCTTCCTATTCTACTCAGTTCTTCTATGTACCCTATAAGGTTGATATTTAGTATATTATAGAATATATCTATTACTCGATCATGAACGCTGTCCTCCGTTTCATCGTAATATTCTTCAAGCCCATGGCATGGAGTACAATCTTTTTCTTGTTGTCGCTGATGTCGAATGCATTCTCAGACGCTCCTGCGTGAGCCTGGAGAGGTCGTTTTTGAGTTGAAAGGTCTTTGAGCTGTGATTCGAGATGCGATATTTTTTTATTTAAATTTTCGATTTTGTTTTGTATTTCCTGGTTCTTAGCAGTCAATGTGTCTGTTTCTTTAGTAAATTCAGATCTAAATTTTGAGATGGCAAATGTAATTTCTTGTTGCACGGTAGATTTTATTTCCTGTATTATTGATTGTTTATTACTCTCTAATTTTTCAAATAAACACTCGCATAATTGTTCATAATTCATGGAATTTGTTCGGTGTCTCTCTGGAGAAGATTTAGATGTACATATCGTCTCACCCATAATACTTAGGTCATTTTGAATTTGATCATCAGCAGACATTTCGAAGCTAATCA